AACCAATAGATAATTTTACTCCTCCCCGTGGCTAGTCACATAGTGGAGAAGAAATTGTATTTCATGCTTGGACGGGTTGACAAATATTCGGGTAGGAACAAAATACGTAATCAATTTCCAGTTCTGCAAAAATAATCGACTGGATCTCTCTAAAATATTGAAACTCGCATTTGGTGACAACAGTCAATCCTGGCATCACCTCTGAATGCATTCTCTAGGCAACATTCTGATTGTCAGATTCTGGTCATACCCAACACCTTAATAGCATGAAAAAAAAAAAAAAAAGAGCCATACAAGGCAGAACACATCTGCTGGGGCAACCAAAAGCTGAAACCCCTGTTGAATGATCTCTTAAAATCACATAAATGGCCTCTGGTTTTCCTGACAGGCATCTGGGATTATTGCTTTGCCTTCAGTAAACTCCAAGGAGAAAAAGCAAATCCACATGGGGTAGAGGAGAGGGACTGATTGATAACATAAGCACATTTGTGTCTAACACCTAAAACCAAGGTGCAGAGGGGTTATCAGTGAACTACAGCCGTAAGGCCAAATCCTGGTGGCCTGGGTTTGCATGGCCCAGAAGCAAGACTGGTTTTTACATTTTTAAAGGAAAAAAAGAAGAGGAGGAAGTCAAGGAGGAAGAAGAGGTGGAGGGAGGAGAAGAGAGCAGCAGCACCATATGTGGCCCACAAAACATAAAATATTTACCATCTGAACCTTTACAGAAAATGTTTACCAACCCTTGGTGGAGATGGATACATCCCTCGTTTCCTAACTTCTCAAAACCGATTAAAAATGGCACTGAAATGATCCGACTTGTCTCTCCATCCCCCACACCATCCCTGTCTCCACCCACTCTGTCATGACTGGCTTTTGGAAAACAGTATTACTCGCCACTGCCCATCTGGTCAACAAGATGCATCCTGTGCTCTCATATGAACATCTTCGGTTCCTGTCATGAACTGCTGCTCTCTTACCACCATTGGGCTTTCCGTGGGCTGCCTACTTACAGAGCCACCATCTTAAACATTAGTACCAGTGTCAGAGTTTACAAACAGAGCTACCACCTGTTAGCATCATTCCTCTCCCTGTAGAGACACAGCCACCAGCTGACCATGACCACGGCTAGGTTCACAGGAGCCTAACTACAAGGAGGAATTGCATCAGCTAGGGCAGCACTTAATAACCAAGTAAAAGGACTACTAAAATCCACCACTGCACGTCGCAAGTTATTAAGTTATTATAAGAGACTGGAAAGGACCTTCTCCGAAAATGACATTTCCCCCCTAATATACGGGAACAAAAGTCATAGCAAATTTAAGGAAGAAACCTGAGTTTCATCTGTTTCTGTCCTATCTTTAGAGTAAATTCCTGGCAGTACTATTGCTGATAAAGAGATAAGTGAATTTAATTTTGATAAATAAGGACAAATTGTTCTCCAGTGAAATGGTAGCAAACTGAACTAACAGGATTATACTGTTGCATGCACTGAGAGGTATAAATCATAACTCCTTATCGAAATTTTAAGCCTCTGTAAAGATTCAAAAGGGTTTTTTTAATGTTTATGTTCTCCATAAGACTTACTACAGTGCTTTCTTTGTAAGCAGTATATGGGTGTTCAATAAAAGGTTTTTGAATCATAAAAAAAAAAAAAAAAGGTTTTTGAATCATAATTATTATGCCAGGATATAAAAAGGGTTTATTTGGGAGGGGAAAAAAAGCTGATAATTGCTTTAAGCAGAACACAATAAACAAAGAAACAAATAAATTAAATAATGAATAAATCAATCCATAAGTTAACCCAATTAGCCACAGCCCACAAAGACGAGAAGAGATAAAACCTGATTTTTTTGAGGGGGAGTGTTAGGGACAGAGAGGCAGGTTGAGCTAGGAGAAGAGTGTTTATATACATAAAAAAAAAAAAAATTTAAAAAACCCAGCAGGGAATTCAGTGTCTGAATAGTAATGAAATTGATTCTATGATTTCTTTGATTCTCTATTTTTAAAAAATGGAATAGTTTATGGCTTTTTAAATTAGGTTGAGTAAGAATTACTGTGGTTTCCAGAATTGTGGAAGAGTGTCACTTGAATTCCACAAATTCATTACATTTTATTTGCAAAACCAAGTTTGGAAGTGCATCTATCAATTACGCAAACAAAAAAAGAGGTGACAAAGAAGGTTCAGATGAACTCTCAAATCTGGGTGCCGTCCAGGGCTCGAGAGCACAGGGGAGAAGTTGTGCCCTGGGGCCTCAATGTCACCTGGATGGAGCCTCACTTGCAGCCCCCAGGGAGAGCCTGCTAAATTAGTCTTTCTCCACCTTATCACCCGATTTGCCTTGAAGGAAATTCTAAAAACGACAGGCCCAGGAGTGGAATGAGGAACATCCCACACACCACCACTCCTTGGTCCAAAATTAGACTTTGTCACAGACACTGATCTCCAAGGTGGCAAAAATAGCAAAAGCTGCTCGGGGGAGTCCCGAGCTGTCCCGGCAGAGTCCCTGCAGCTTCTCCAGGAGGCCAGCTGGTGGCTGGTGAGCAAACAAGTTCTTGCTGCTCAGTCTCATTCAATAGTCGGTCCTTCCCTCCCTCCCGATCCTCCAGCTACCCCAGCCTCCAGCACTCCCTTAGAGTGCAGAATAACAACACATTGCATTTAAAAAGCGAGAACGTTCGAGAGGAATTTTGAGATATAATATTGCTATTTGGTGCCAACACTACCCAAAGAAACAGGATTTCTTGTAACCGTGATCTTCTTAGGCATACTCTAAGTTGACAGATATTTCTGAAAGGCACTCTGATATTCAAGGTAATTTGCAAACACTAAGCCAGGTCTTCGTGGGGACATATGGGGGCTAGAAGAGCTTTCACACTCTCCAAGGGAGCAAGGCACTATGGCCAGAGGTAGAGGTTTAGGAGTCTGACAAAAGGACCTTGCATTCCTGGCTCCAGTAGTAAGGAGTTCTGTGGCTGCAAGCAGGTGACTGAACCATCTCAACTGAGAGTGAGTTTTCTCATCTCTCTGATAGAGACTGATTCCTTCCAGGTCAAAGGTCATGAATAATACTCTTGAATTGTGAGCCCAATGAGAGCATGAGCCTTACCATCCGTTCACCACTATATCCTGGAGCACAGAGCAGAGCATGTCAGGTCCTCAATGAACATTCTTGAATGAACAAATGAATAGGAATGAATGAATGAGTTTGCCTTCCAGTTAAGGTAGTGATGAGAGAAACAGCAAGTGAAGTGCTTGGCATACTGTAGGAGGCTTGGTAAATGGTATTGCCTGCTATGATGGAAGAGACTAGAGGCGGACAGCAGATGGCCGGTAAGTGCACGGTATTATCAGCAAAACACCCTCAAGTAGGAAATATTTACAAAGGTAAAATCAAAGCACTAAATAAATACTATTCTAGAAGTTTGTGCAGTGTGGCGACAGACACCAATATGGCCGCCTCCAAGGCCTATTCCTCCAGGTGTTTACAGTCTGTGTGGGCCCCTTCCCTGACTACAGGAAGGACTTGTGACTTGCTTTTAATCAGCAGACAGGGCGACAGGATCTCACTTGTGTGGTTAGGATACATAGGATTGCATGGTTTGCAGTCTGCAAGGAAGTCAGTGGTGTGTTGGGGGACCCCACGCAGGAAGGAGCTCACAGTGGCCTCTGGGAGCTAAGGATGGCCTCCAGGTCACAGCCAGCAACAAACTGAGGCCCGCAATCCTACTGTTACAAGCAACTAAATCCCACCAATAACCCCGCTCGCTCATGAGTAGATCCTTCCCCAGTCTAACCCTGAGATGCACCTGAAGCATCTGAGCCTTGTGAGAAAGTGAAGCCACGCCAACACTCCTGGCCCACAGCAATGATGAGATGGTAAATGTGTGTTGCGTTACGGTGCATAGTTGGTGGGACTTTGTTATGAAACAATAGAAAACAAACAGGCCAGACATTGATTGTCCACAGCATGGGTAGCCAACATGCAGAGAAGGACCACTTGCGGAGAGTAACAAAAGACGGAGGTAGGGACTTTGGAGAAGTGAAGCCCCCCAATCTGCCCAAAGAGGGCAGACAGGACTGGGCATATCTGATTGTTGTTGCCTTGTGGGGGTGTGAGATCAGTGCTGTTAGACCTTTTCACTTTTCACCGATAACATAGATATCTGAGTTTTATGTGAAACCTCTCAATTTTTAAATGCTGGTCACTAATTTGGTATTTTTAGAACAGCAGCAAGTTAATCTCATAAAGGACAAAGAAAACAGGTCGTGAGGAGAAAAGTGGGGGCTACCCCAGGACACCTCCTCCAAATTTGAGTCCCATGACTTCCAAGCTGGTGGCCTTGGGCCTCCCATACAGCAGTGGTTATAGTGTTAGAAAGCCCTAAAAATATTGCTTGTTACAGAGTAGAGACAAGATACATATTTAGTATTATGGATATCATTATTGTACTAGCTTCCTATGGCTGTGGTAACAAATTACCAGGACTCGGGGGCTGAAAACAACCTAAATGTATCTTCTTACAGCTCAGGGGACCAGATGTCCAAAGTCAGTTCACGAGCTGAAGTCAAGGTGTTGGCCAGGCTGGGTCCTTCTGGAGGTTCCAGGGGAGAATGTTTATCTTCTCCAGCATTTAGGGGCACCCACATCCTTTGGGTCACATCTCTCTCTTCCACCTTCAAAGCCATCAACATATAAACTGCAAATCTCTCTTTCTGTCCCTCTGTTTCCACTCTCACACCACCTTCTGATGCTTACTCCTCCTGTTTCCCTCTCATAAGGACCCCTGTGATAACACTGGCTCACCTGGATGATCCAGGATAATCTCCCCATCTCAAGAGCCTCAACTTGATCACATCTGCAAAATCCCTTTTGCCATGTAAGTACACATTCATAGGTTCCAGGGATTAGGACACATCTTTGGAGCCATGATTCAACCTATCACTATTATTATTGTTGCTGTGATGGGACCCACAAGCCTCCTCTTTATGGCTGCTGGGTTCACGTCACAAGTCTGATCCCAACCAGTGCACTTAAGGCTGTAACATCAAACTGGTACAGGCCCCACGGGGAAGCATCTGTCTGTAGAGGCGGTCTTCGGAGTTTTATGACAGAGGCAGCCAACAGTGGGTCAGGACTTTCTAATAATGAGGCTAAAAGCCCAGAGGTGAGCATCACCATCTTTCTCCATTTATGACCTTGACTTTCTCAGAGAAGCAAGCCAGTAGTGGTAAACACGCAATTCCTAGTTGAGAATATAGCCGGATCTATGTGGATCCATTCCCAGTTACCAGAAAATGCAGTACTGTAACCCTGGGAGGGTGGGCCAGCAGGGTTGTCTTCATTTGCTTCATTGTCATGGGGTATCTCTTTTCTCCCCAAATCAGGGACTGATTCACGTACATTAATTTTCAGCATTTCATAATCCCCACTTAACATCCCTGAGATTCAGATCCCATTCTGAGGCTTACTCATTTCCATCTAAAACAGGATGTTGTTGCTTTAAAAATCATATTCATTTTATGGAACTCGTTAAGCATACAGCAAATTAAGAGCAAACAACATTATTTTCCAGTTAAATTTGCAAAGGGATGATCTAAATGAATTACTCATATTCCTGATTAATTTTTAGTGGAAGTAATGAGGAGGTTGTAAATGGAAAAACATGTGCATACAGAACCTGCCTTTCAAGCACAAAACAATTTATGCTAATTGATGGCTTTACCAGTAAGGTAATCTTGGAAAAACTCCTTCAGATGCTTAAAGGCATCTAATGGGACAGCTAAACAATTTTAATGCAATGACATGTTGCCCTGTAAAGTTCCAAGGGACTTGAATTCTACTTTACAGCCATCTGTCTGCCTGCCTATCTATCTATCCATCCATCCATGCATCCATCCATCCATGCATCCATCCATCCATTTATCTATCTCTATAGCAATATCCAGAATTGGTAAGCATATGGGGAAAGGAATACCAAGACTACATTAGTTAAAAAAATATTTTGAAATCGGTGGGGAGAAAATCAAGAGAATACTTCATGATGTGTGAAAATTACACGAAATTTGAATTTCAGTGTCCATGAACAAAGTTGCTTTGCAGCAAAGTCATATCCACTGGATTATGTTTTTACCTATGGTTGCTTCTGCACAACAATGGCAGAGTTAAGTAGTTGCAACAGAGACCATCTTACTCCACAAAGCCTAAAGTATTTACTAGTTGGCCCTTTACAGAAAGTTTTGCTGATCTCTGCTCTAAAATCCCAGACCACTGCATGAACAAGTCATTTGGGAATAATCTGAGGCTGCTCTGGGACAGATCATATTTCTGGCATGTTTTTCCCCCCTCTTTAAATCCAACCACTCCACATATTTAAATCATAAATTTTCAAACTACCCTAATCTTACCATGCCAACGCAGTTCCTTTTGGTTTTGCAGATTTCCTTCCAGATGTGAAGCTTTATGCATGTATTTGCAGCCACGATGCATGATTTGCATTATTTAACTGTTGTGCATTAAGATTTCAATCCTAACTCTCTGTGCTAGTCACAGTCCCTGGCACAATGCAATGAACAGTGGAGGTATTCCCATATGCACTGGGAAGCATATGCTCATGTGTATTTGTGTTTGTGCTGTCTTTATATATCAATGTCCGTGAAGGTTGATCAACCAGAGATGGGAGATACATGGCTCTGGGCAGGATGGAGTCTCTAGACAGGTTTCCCTTGGCCCACAAAGCGTTACTGTTTCGTTGCTGGTTTTAACAAGAATTCATTTCCAACAGTTACAAACTACAAGATATTATGTACAGACTCAAATCCTTGGCTTCTCTGGAAAAAATCAAGAGCCCAGTACATGGAGCCCACAGTCTCATCAACAGTCTTCCGGACTTGGGCTTTTGACATTTCACCCCTCACTCTGCTTCTCTCTGGCCCCTGTTACCAATTGAAATGATAATGCCTGGTACAGCTATAAATATATATCTGTAGGTAGATAATCTACATAGTTGTGTCCACAGATATCCATATGCATCCAAATTGATTCTGATGCACATACTCATGACAGTGGACTAATGATGATGTCCCCTCCCCAAATTCATATATTGAAATCTTAACCTCCAAGGTCATGGGGTTAGCAGGTGGGGCCTTTGGGAGGACATTATGTCATGAGGGCAGAACCCTGACAGTTGGGATTAGTGCCCTCATAAAAGAGACCCCAGAGAGCTCCCTTGCCCCATCCATCAGTGAGACAGAAAAGGTAGCCATCTATGAACCAGGAAGATGGTGCCACCAGACACTGAGTAGGCCAGCACCTTGATCTTGGACTTCCAAGCCTCCCAGTGAGAAATAAATAAATTTCTATTGTTGATAAGCCACCCAGTTCTATGGTATTTGCTGTAAGAGCCCAAACCGATGAAGACACACACAAGTAATAATCGAGGCACAAAGTAGATAAACAGGGATGTCCAGTTACTGTGCTACCAGCTGGCTCTTGAGGCTTTTGCAAGGATGTTATTAAATCCAAGTAATACACTGTTGAGGACAGGAGAAAGCCATCTGTTCAAATAATGCAGGCCATATTTTCAGCATAAAGATTCTAAGATTGCATTCTACCAGGGTATGCACTAGGTCATAAGGAAGACATTCCAGACGTACCATTGAATTTTTCACGCTCTGGAGCAAGCGATCATGCTGCTCAGCTATTGCCAAGGCAGCAGAGTGGACCTTCTGGTAGATGGCCTCCCCATCTCGCGTTTGAAAGATAAACAGCCCTTCCCCAGTTTCACACATCCTGTGAAAACAAAAACAAAAAGCTTTTGAAAATCCAGCTCCAAGAACTTCCATGCACGGAGGACCTAGAATACTCCATGAAACCAGACCCCTTTATTTCACATGAGTTCAGGATTCTTGTCCACATTTGCTAAACGAAGTTAACTAGAATCAAAATTTCCAATTAGTTGTTGTTAATATGGGCGGGAAACCATTCACTCTAGGCTAACACAGTGCTGAGTTTTTTTTTTGTTTTTTTTTTTTTGGTCAAGAAGCAAAGGTTAATAAAAAAGCTGTTTCTTGATTCTTAGTATAATCCCAGTACTTCGGCTTCCCACTTTCAAAGAGGCACCTGTGCAAAACTGTGTTTTCATGACTGTCCATGAATCAGAAGCTCATCAGACACTATGTCATCCAACGCAGAGGTGTAAGAAGGATTCTATGACTCCCAGATTCTGTTCTTTCCTCAGAGACAATGGCTTTAAGGATTCTTTCATTTCCAAAATCAATCTGGATTCCTTTTTGTTTTCTACTTTACCCACTGACTTTTACCTTGGACACTTTCCAGCAGCCAAAGTGGTCCCAAATGCCCCAACACTCTTTTCTCATGGCCTTATGCTAACAGAAGCCAGTAGATGGAAACCCTGAGCCCAGAGAAGGGAAAATAATGAGTTTTACTTGGGTCTTTCCTATGTCCTTTGCGAAGATAAGGATTCAGACATAAGAACATGGTGGCCATTACAGATACACTTAACAGTGTTGAATTTCTCCAGAATTACTTTGTCTACATGATAAGCCTGTCACTCCAAACCATGGATTATGCAATTTAGTCAAGAATCTAGAAGACAATCAGGAGCTCAAAAGCACTGGGAAATTCACTGATGCCTGCATATAACAAGTATGTATCAAGGCAGAGTGAAATAAGAAGCAAATCTGGATTCCAGATTGCCTGGCTGGGGTTGTCCCCTTGCCAGCTTTGTGAGCTGGTACATGTTAGCCTCTCTACACCTGCATTTCCATTTGTAAAATAAATAGAACGACAGTAACCATCACATAAATGTCCTGAAAGTGTGAGACAGGATTTATGAGTACACAAAGGAAATCTTCACGTCCATTATTCCACTGGTAGGTAAGCTCCGTGTAGACGAGATTTGTTCCTGATTTATTCATAGTTCCTCAACCAGTGCCTACAACACGGCTTGCCCTATATCTGGCGCTCAATAAAGAACTTCCATGCACGGAGGACCTAGAATACTCCATGAAACCAGACCCCTTTATTTCACATGAGTTCAGGATTCTTGTCCATTCACAAGAATGGCTTGTGAAATAGCAGGTGGTGCTAGGCAAAGGTATAATGAAGAACTTGACCCCGGCTTCCTTGAGGAAGTTTTATTTAAATTGAGGTTTCACGGAGCCACCCTGGGGAGGGCGGGGCTCTGGCAGAGAAGGCAGGAAGAACAGTCCGGCAAGGAACTGCGCACAGAATGCCTTGAGGTGGGACAAAGTTGAGTGACCCAGCACACCAGGGAGACGGTGGCAGGAGGGACAGCCTATGCTCCTGGAGCTCCGGGGGCTTCATTCTGCAAAGTCGCCACCTGAGGACAACAGTTCCCAGAGGCACGAAAGCCCAACTTTGGAAACCGTTCCCGCTCTTTGCCAATGACATTTCACACCAACATCCTGTATGAGAAAAATACTAATGGGATTGCAATTATGAAAACCAAAATAAATGACCTCATGGCAGACAGTATTAAGAAGCGAACTTAAGAGATCAGAATCCAAGTCAGTTCTACATTGCCTCACCGTCAAGATGTATTTTGTGCGTGGGCATGTGTGTGCGTCTCTGTGTGTTTAGAATTTTTGGACACTGTGATAAGTAGGATGTATCTTATACTCAACATGTGTATTTATAGTAATCTTTTCTTCTCTCCACCCCTGCAAAGCGGTTATTAAGTCAATGTTACATTTCACATTTACAGTTATGTAATATTTGAAAGAATACGGTACTTGTCAGACAAACATAAGGCAAATCATAAGAACGGCAGCAAGAGATGTAAAGGTAAAGACGTGGGATGTTTCTTCCTGGAGTTTACAATTTACTTGGCTAAATAAGATCTATATAAGTGAATCAGTTGAGACTAACATAATGGTACAATGAGCCTTAGTGGTCAGAGGAGCAGCTGATAAGCAAAGTATAGTTGGGGAAAGGGGTGGGTGTCAATGTTACATAGTAACAGAGAAAATCAGGATGCCAAAAACTTGAGAGAAATCGATCAGAAGCACCTCGCAAAACAGACACAAAATTAGGAGCAAAGCATTGCAGAACGGTGACATTGATTTGTCCATGAAAGTGAGGTGAACAAATGGAGTGTGACCCCTTTCCCCCCTGTGGCTACAGCGGGCCAGAGACACTATGGTAAGAAAAATACACACAGACATACAGAATGAAGTAAAGAGGCTTAACCACATGGGATCTGGTGGCTCCAGCTTGAAGAAAAATCTGAGAAAAGGTCTGTTCGGAGCTTGTAACTTAGAACAGGGGCTCTCTACACTCGCATATCCGCAATATCGTATGGCCAGATCCTTCTTGGCTGTGGGAACTGTCCCGTGTGTTGTAGGATGTTGAGCAGCATCTCCGGTGTCTACCCACTGGCTGCCAGTAGTATCCTCAAGTTGTGACAATCCAAATTCTCTCTGGACATTGATAAATGTCCCTGAGGTGGCAAAATGTCCCCAGCTGAGAACCACTGAAATAGACCAAACACAAGAGGTCGAGGGAGCACCAAACTTATGGGTTAGTGGTAGAGAGGTTGTACACATAAGGCAGCTTCTGGGTTCAGGGGAGCTGTTGCTTCGCCAGACAGTATTCAGGTTGAAGCAGAGAGTACACCCGCCACCTGTGGTCTGTGTGGTCTTGCCCATTCCAGTCACTGGTGCCACAGCCTAGTGGATCTCGGCTTGAGATGAGGTGGTAGGTGACTCCGCCAAGTGCACGTGCATGTGCGTGTGCGTGTGCATGTGTGTTGGCTGGAGACCAGGCAATCTAGGCTGCCTGCTAATGGGATGACTGTCCTGTTCTTTCCTGAGACCAGTGGGGTGAGAAAGAGAAAGCAGTGTAAGACCCTACATGATGCATCATTGTCCCGCTCAGGCCGCCAAGCATGGGGCAGCTCTGGGGAATGTCAGTCATTCTTGTACAACTTTTGGTCGTCAAATCTTTGTGCTGCCTATTTAATACTTTTAAAATCAACTCGGGTTTCTCCTCCCTTAAACAAATGTATTGTCCATGAGCCACCAAATCAATAATCATAAGCCAGTATGCTCCGCCATACATTGAAGGCAGATGTGAAAAGGAATGCAATGAAAACAAAACATGTTATTGAACTCTGTCTAGGTCCTCTTGTCAAAGATCTGAACGGGACATGAGCTCACTTGTTAGTAACACAGGCAAATTAGAAAAGTGTTAGAAGATGTGTTTTAGATGTGCCAGCACCCCACTGAAATGTTTTTTCTATAATTTAATCAAAAGGATCAAAAAGGTAATTGGGAAGAAAAAGACTTCATTGCTGTGCGAGTCACATTCATTTAATGTTATGCCTCTATCACTAAAATCACCCCACATTTGGGGAAATGTGGGTGTGCTTCCTGGAGCCCTCCTCGAGGTGGGGTGGGAGAGAGGTAGGGAAGACAGAAAGTCTCCTCCAGTTCCCTCATATGCTGGAATCATGGTCAAGTATCCTGACCTCTCCAAGTTTCCACGGCCTCATATCCCAAATGTGAGTAATAAGATCACCCAAACCTCTGAGGGTACTGGGAAATTATATTTTATCTTTAGCAAAGGATCTTGCATCAAGGTAAGCACTGAATTGGAATTTGTTGTTGTTATTTTAACCCTTTAAAATGTCAAAGCCAATGAGGACGCGGTCCTCAGGGAAAACTTCAGGAGGGAGGCACAACTGCATTTTTGCCTGGAAGGAAATGCGGGAGACCACATCCCGGAACAGTGGGGAAGCAAGCAAAAGATGCCTGGTGGTGGAAGGTGTGCGGCTGGGGAAGAAAGTCTATGTTTGAGGCTCATGAGCTATGAGAACAGAATAATGCAAACTTCTTCTCTGAGAATGGAAATATGAATTCAGGAATAGGATTCTCCCACTAAGAAAACCAGCAGCTTTCACTAAATAAAAACTACAATGCAAATGACTGGGGGTTTTGTTTCTCCAGCCCCAGTGAAGTAGTATACTGCGTCTGTTCTGGAGTGTTAGCAACAACTTAAATAAAGCTCATCAGAACCATGAGAGACAATGGACTCTGAGAAACAAACTGAGGATTCTAGAGGGGAGGCGAGTGGGGGGATGGGTTAGCCTGGTGATGGGTATTAAAGAGGGCACGTTCTGCGTGGAGCACTGGGTGTTATGCACAAACAATGAATCATGGAACACTACATCAAAAACTAATGATGGAATGTATGGGGATTAACATAACATAATAAAATAAAATTAAAAAAAAAAAAGCTCATCAGCCCAGTGAGCGAGGTGAAGATAAGGTCCCAATTTGGAGGGTGCACTGATTGTCACATGCTGTCCTTTCTCCCGCGTCTTCACTATCGGTGTCACCAGACTTCCTAACGGTTCCCTTAAATGTGCACATTATCACTTTTTAGATTTAAATTGTAACCCCATGTGTATGGACTTGAGAGTTTATAAAAACAAAACAAAACTAAGCTAAACTATCCCCAAAGTCATAAAACATGGCTCGTATAAGAGACAGTGCTAATTTATTAATTATATCTGTTCTTAATCACGTAATAGGTAAAGTCAAAGAAACATCCCCTTTTCCCCTTTTGCTTCCCCATATGCCCTGACCTAGATCTAGGGTGGCATTTGCCCCTCATTCTTCCTGCTGTAGCGAAGGGAAGTGCCTTTCACAATTTCTAAACTCAAACACCATGTGTGGCTTTCCTCATCCCCAGGAGAATGAAAAGTTGGGTTAGCACCAGAGGGAAACTGCTGAACAAGCCTTGAC